CCAACTTGGGGCCAACAGACGCCAACATAGGCCCAACATAGGCCCAACCCAGGCCAACATAGGCCAACATAGGCCTAACATAGGCCAACATAGGCCCAACATAGGCTCAACATGGGCCCACGATGTGCCCAACATACACCACATGGGCCCCACGTGGCCCAACCTAGGGCCAAGATGCGCACCAGATAGCTCAACTTTGCTCAATATAGGCCCCACCAAGGCCAACATAGGCGTGACATACGCCCCACACACCCAAGTGGGCCGGCGCCCGGCTGTTAGGCGTAAGCCTTGAAATATATATATATATATATATATATATACGTTATATACATACCCAATTCTGGGATGGAAACCAGTTGGAAAGAAGTTCCGCTTCAGTATGTATACTGTAGGTGACTAAGTCTTCAAGGATCGTCCCAGGTCTAAGTTGAACTTGACAAGCTGAAACATCACGGAGCCAGCTAGCGAGCTGAATTTGGATCCATCCCTTGTTTGCAAAAGAACACATGGAGAAGATCGAGTTCCTGAAAATCAACAGCAGTTCGACTCTTATTTGCGTCACAGTGACTTTTGAGTCCGTGATTGGACCCAGACCGTCCATGTATATGGAATAGCAATACCTGAAACTGAGATCGGGTCAATTATAGTAAATTGATGTAACTCTTCCCATTTGAATGGATCTTTGAGTGAACCACGGTATGGAGCGAGTTGCGAGGCTCGCTCCACACCGGTGCACGTCGACATGTCGGAAGCCGAGCACGGAGAAAGGCCCGACGTGTGGTCCGGCGACCAAGAATCCAAGAGCACCACCTCCAAGGGATGTTTTTGTGACCTGAACCTGGTATACTTGTATGGGATAGCCGAAAAGTCGGCTCCTTCAACCTATGTTGGCCTGTTGGCTATTCAAACGATAAAGGACGAGTCCGAGGTGGAGCACCCACGATCACAGGGGAACAGAAAGCGGAGGGAAAAGTCGTCCGAGGTAAAGCACCCACGATCACAGGGGAAGAGTAGGCCTAGAAGCAACAATAGTAGTCTCGAGGCTAAGAGTTTGAGAGGCCTGGAGATCTAGAGGTCGAGGTCTAGAGTGCATACATATGAGAGCACAATCATCAGAACACACATCTGAGAGCACGCGTCAGATAGCACAGAGTGCGATCTAGAGGTCTTGAGATCGAGAGCGTCGAGGTGCACAAAGTCACAAAGTGAAGCGCCTGCCATGAAGTCTTTACTTTGAAGTTCACAAAGTGCTGCGCCTGCCACAAAATCTGCACTTCAAGATTCACACTGCCGTAGCCACGGTGTTTCGCCGCAAGAACGCTTCCAAACACAACATCCAAATGCCAAAGCGCAGCTTTCGCGCGAGACTTCCCCCGATTTCTGAAAACGAGCCATATGTAGAAAAGTCACGATTCACTGCACCTGTCACGAAATTAGAGCCCGTCGAAGATCACCATATCCCAAGTGCTGCGCCTGCCACGAAATCTGCATTTCGATTTCACACCGCTGCGATCCCTTGCACCTGTCACGCGAGTCAACTTTGGACCACCAGAACACGAGGTTTCCCTTGCGCCTGCCACGAAAAGTGACTTTCCCATGTCCGAAAATGCGCACGGCACCACAACGAGAGCGCACCTCCGTCAAGCTCCGTCTCACGGCCCGCGTTTCGCAGGAAACGCGCCCAGGACAGAGAGAGCACCCTGATCGAACCTGGGCTCTTACACCTATCATAAGAACCCCTCAGTGTGGACACACTGTTTGAGGAAAAAAAATAACAATTCCTCTTTCCAGAGCAATTCCTCGTTCGATCCTTTTAACACCTTTTAGCCTCCTGTTTGTTTTGCCTAGAGGATTGCATAGCTACATACGTATAGATTCATCCAATAAAGTACCTGGACGCCCGACAGTAGCCCAAAACAACTCACTACTTTTGATGCACAAAAACTCCAAACCCCTCTATATAGGCAAAACAACTCACACCACCATGTCTTTGGGATTTGGAGTTGCCACGATCACCTGCCACGTTCATCTGTCGCTTGTGCCCGACTCCGCCAAGTGACGTAGATCCCACGCAAATGGAAGAGGGGTTGGAAGTCGTCCTGGAGTGCTGGACAGGGAAGTCTAAGTCGATCGAACTAACAAAAAAACTATCAGCACCTTCCAAGAGGTCTCCTCTGGAGGCTTTTGTAGACTTTTTCAAGTCGCAGGTGGTGACCTGTCGGTTTCGGTCCTGGTATCATGAATATATCCAGCCCAGTTCTTTTTTCAGAAGAAACTCGGCGATATCCGTGGACCGCAGGGATGGTGAGGCTTTTCTCCTGTTTCTGGCGTTTGAGTGCGGCTGTTCCTCGAACCAGGTTGCATGAAGCAAAAGAACACCCCGAATCCAGGCCCGGGCCTGGAAAGCTGGGAGATTCCACTGCGAAGCCAGCACGGTTTGGAGGAAATTGTATATCAGTATCACTATAATAGCCTCGAGTCCAAGACGATAAAAGCGAGTGATTGCGGGTCCCGAGTTGAGGCAAAACATCGCCGAGCTGGACATCTAGGGATTATCTGCTTGTCAGGATCTAGGATCAAATCTGCTTTGGCAACTGTCGTGGTCTCGTTTTGAGAACCTGGCCCTAAACCCTGAAACGGTGTTAGAAAAGCAACTGGAAGAAACATCACAGAAATTCTGGAATTCCCTTTGAACTCCTGAAAGGGTTGTGTTTTAATGCTTTTTAGACACACCGACACACTTGAGTATACGCCCCCAAATGGGTGGTGCTAGAGAAAAACAACTTTGTGATTCCACTTGGATGCCTCGCTTCCCCCTCACTTTTCGATCGCGTCCTCCAATTGCTGGCCCATCACGAAAATCTTCACCTAGGGCGGTGCGAAAGGGCCAACCACATCGCCGGGTCTCATCGCATTTGATGAGCTCCAGTGTATGTTTTTCTTCAGTCGGATCAGCTGGTCTTCTTGCTTTTCCGGATTGGACCACCCAAAAGATGAATCTGCATGGAAAAAAGGAAAAGAACCGCCATGACGTCTGTGTTCAGATGGGAGATGACCGATCAAAAGTCTTTGGCACCATTCTATATATATATATACATATCTTAGGCGCTGAAGGCTCATACCAGGAGACCCCGTTTGGGATTCCAATTGGTGGTAAGGGGTGTCCATGAACCACCCCAACAAGGGTACACACGCCACACAATACCCCAAACGGGGTCTCCTGGTAGATGCTCATAGTATGGCTAGCAGCTAGCAGTGGTTCATATTTTTTCGAACGGGTGCCCTGCCTGCAGCCCACTTTGGGTCATCGCGGTGATGGTCTGCCCCAGTGAAGCTGGGGGTTGAAATAACACATTGTGTTCTTCAGCCGCAAAAACGAACTTCCTTCATGAAAAGCTATACCAGGACCTTCAAAGTGACCTTGTGATATCTTAGAATGAGGTCACTTAGTCCCTAAAGAGGTCACAAACAGAGACTCCAATTCGAGGTCATGGACTTCTCGCGTCAAACTGAGTCGGAACCGCGTCAACGCCGGACGCCACGTGTCACCAGGGCGAACCGGCTGTGCGACGGCAGAGCAGCACCGGAAAGCGGCCTCAAAGGCGCCGTGGATGGACGGCGACCGGACTGGGAGCGCCCTGTTCTGTTCTGTGAGGCAAGAGGTACTTGGAGGCCCAAAGTAGTTTCATAAAGTATTCGGAGTGTCCAACGTGTCCATCAAAATATAATCACCTCAAAACACTTGCGCATGCAGTTGTGGGTCCCCACTTCTAGGGTAAGAAACGTGCCTTCGTGTGGATGACAAAAGGATCCCGGATCCAAGCAGCTCTTGTTTTGATTCAATTACTCAGGACAACCGGTGGAACCTGAAGAATCTATAGCAGTAAGGAACTAACATGAAACACAAATAATGTACCGTTCTATACAGGATCTTCCATGTGCTTCTATCCGAAAAAAAACAAGATGGAGCCCACGAACCCGAATGCAAACACATACGTCAAACCACTGCGTATAAAAAGAGACACAGCCGGTCAGAATCTCTTTTTCACTCTCTGGCACGCTGTTGGACATCATGCGCTGGGGACTCCACCACCAAGGCAGCATGCGCTGGGGACTTCACCACCAAGCTCCGTCTTCATCATGAAGGGTCTTTGTTTTGCATTCAAATCAAGCACTGGCGTAAAGGTTCTGGCAGATCCGCGGCACGAAAGAAACAATGGCATTGTCCCAAAATCTCGAAAATAAGCACTTGAAAATGATAACCGTCCACATAATACAGAGAAATCCACAACTGCGGCGTCTGATCTTCTTGTAAATAGGAGTGTAAGACCGTGCGTTGTTGTGGTTCGCCTGCATCGACAAGAAGTATATGAGACACACACAACGGAAGTGAAGAAAACTATCCTATAGGTTATGTCATTAGTCCAACATTCGTATGGATTTATCGCACACGCGTTTGTTAGATGTGTCACCGGGGCCTCGAACAACAGACGTCTGGGTCCAAGTATTTCCAGCAATGATGAAGCCAAGATTGAGCTCCGTGGCCAACGCAACAAAGTCGACGTCTGTTGCCCAATGAGTATTCCCACAAGTTTCGAGAGCAGCACTCACGGCATGCTGCAAAGACACCAGGGCCGCAGTGCCAGAACGCACTCTCTTGCTCCTCGTCACGGAGCTGTCGCCCTCTTTGTAGCGAACTAGCATGGCGTCGTCTACAACTTCTGCTCCGAGGACATCGTTGGCGTCTTTCAAGAAAGCAAAAGGAGAGCCACGCAAGAGTGCGATCATGGACCAGTCGTCCAGCCATGTCCTCGCAGCTTCGCGCACCAAACACCCGACGACGAAGTTCAAGAATGCTTTTGGCGTCTTGGCGCGCATGTGTTGCCCGACAATCTTGCGGAGAGCAGCCGCGACCGTAGTTCGGTCGTCCCAGTCAGTCACTTCATCGGAAGTGAAAAGATTCAAGAGTCGTGGGTGGACCGCTCGCGCCTGCATCAGGACGACCGCAGTGGACAAGAAGAAGCAATCGCCGCCTCCACCAGCTTCGGCGGCAAAGACACGCAGAGCCCCGTGTTCTCGGAAAAAATTGTGCCGTGGGAGTGGCCACCTCTTCCAGCACAAGAGACCAGATGTCGCAGAAATCCGTTCGCAGCTGACGCCACTTGGTGGGGTCGTACTTCCTTTTGGTTCCCCTGAACTCAGTCACTACACTCGCCCTCGTAGCCGCCGTCCAAGCCCCTGGGACGTACTGAAAGCGACCCTCTGGTGTTCTGCGGGTCGGTCGCGGTAGGTGTTCCGCGGCTGGAAAACCAGGCAGATGTCTGCGAGCTTCTTCGATTGCGGAGCGAGACAAAAGCGCAACCTCCTGCAAACAATGATACAAGATCGACACACGCGCGGTTGCGGATGGTATGACTCGTGGCTATTTCATATGTTATCACTCGAGCAGTGTGAATCAGTCCGTGGATATCCAACATATAGCACATTAAACAAGCCAACAAGCACATCAGAGTCCTCCAGTCGATCCAAAAACTCGGCAATATACGCAGGTGGACCAGTCTCAAAGATTGAAAAATCAATATCGCCTTCTGGCGTCTCCGGTAAATTGCGAAATAAGGAATACTCGAGAGCTTGAGCGCGTCCAAGAATCATGTACAAGTGCTGCGTATAATCGTCTGCCGAAAAATAATCTGGTTTCGAAAAATCAATCGGGTGCCCAACTCCTTTGATGGTCTTGCCTTGGGCATTGTTGTAGGTTCCAGCAGCCAGCGGAGCAAGAGGATACTGTATCCGAGTAACATCCAACATCAAGGCTCCTTTGCGATGCAATTGCACGCGGAAAGAATCTTCACTCGGTTCTAAATGCCACACTCCAGGCAGAAGCTGTCCAGTATAATCTTCTTGCTGATCCTGTTGCAAGTCAGGTGTGACTCAGAGATACATGGGTCCTACAGAAGGTTAGATTAAACTGTCTAAAAACCGATGTTCACAAACTATGCAGGACACTTGTCTTCAGCCACATCCGCGTATATCAGACTATATTTAGTTGCACACCCAGGCCTCAATACGCAAGGTAATCGAGGCAGGGAGATAGTCCAGGCGAACATATCCAGTCTCCCAGCACGGATGCGATCCCGCGGGGACTCCACCACCGGCGGGCGCGCCAGGCACGCCAAAGCGTTCGTTGGGATGAAATTGAATGGCGATCACCTCGGCCGGACACTCTTGCACGATTTCTGGTGGCAAGAGTTTCTTCGTCACCTTCACCTTCAAGCCCAAGTGCAGCGGTAGAAACGACATGAGGTTGCCAGTTTTACTTGCCATGTTGGTCAAGCCCAGAATCTCGCGCAGAATGGATTTATCGTTGGTGAACTCACTTTGATGCACCAAATCCACTGCTTGAACGTAGTAGAGCAGACGACCTTTGTCATGTAGCAACGACGTCAAGAAGGATTCCTGCTTGGCGAAGACCGCTCCGAAGCGAGACTGAAAGGACCTCGAAAGATACGTCGGAAAGTGTCGACGAATCAGCTGGGGACGTCCAGTCTGGGTGTTGCGGAAAGCTGCAACACCAAAGCTCGCGCGAGCAGACTCGTATGCGCACAACTGCTGGAGACGAGCCACCTGGTCCCAGTTCACTGCGCTGAAGACACCGCGCGCGAAGAAACCTGGAGGCCCGGTGGGCGCAGTCGCTCCTTCAGAGCCGTAGACAAGGGACGACCCCCGACCACTCGCATCGTCTCCAAGAGCTCGGCCAACGGATCTCCTTTCCGAAAGCGGTGAGAGCCTCTGAACAAGATGACCTGTTTCAGAAAGGCGCGAAAGACTGCAAGTCCATGTTCATCGATGTCGACTTTCTTCCTGCGCTGTTGGTCGTCCATCTTCTCGTATCGCGGCGCCCCCCGGCACTTCAATGCCGAAGGCTTCCATGAGGGATCTGGCTCGCACGGGGTTCAACTGCAAGAAGTCACCAGCCAAAATCTGACACAAGACATTGCCGAAAATGTTGCTCAGAAAATCCCCCGGAGAAAGGTCGAAACGACCATAGCAGGCCGATCCGTGTAGCACTGCCAACAAATTCGGTGCAGTCAAGCTAATCTCATCAACAAACACCAGCGAAAGCCGCCACCACTTACGCTGCAAAGCCTCCTTCTTGGTCTTAGAGGGCTTTTGCAGCAACAGCTCTTGCGCCCGTGTGAGACCAGCCATATGGTGGAACGTGCTTCCTCCTATGAGTCGAGCGGCAGAGTTTTGGGCAGCGACCCCTCGGGTGGTCCCAGGTAGAAACTCGTTGTAGACCGGGAGGATGACTTCTTTCAGCATGAAAGTTTTGCCGCTCCCTCCAGGTCCATGTACAAAAATACGCGCCACCATGTCCTACGTGGGCTCACGAGCAAAAGGAACACGCAACAACCTAATCCAAAATCTATATTTCGCCAACGGGGTGTGATCATTGCGCAAATGAAGTCGTACATTCTCTATGTAAAATACAAAAATCATGTATCCTTGCTACAAGCTATGTTTATGTCATTAATTAGACATTTAGTTCCGCCGATGGAAGCGCGTGGGCACGCGAAATTTTGGACTCCATAATCCTTCTCAACCAAAGCCAACAACGGGTCAAGTCGAGTGCGATCTCCGAAGCAGTGAGCCAGTCCAGCTTCGTTGGCTTTGTTCCACAGGCGCTGCAAGGGCGCGATGGCGAGGATCACAGCATTGTACTGATCTGGAGAGATTGCATACTCTGCTCCGTCTTGGTGAGTGGACTGAAGCACAGGTAGCTTCTGCTGCACCAGCTGCAAAGCTTTCTCAGCCGGAGACAAAGTCAACACCGCTGCCACAGGGGCCAAGCCGGCCTCAACGTCTCGTGTAGAGATGTCAACGCATTCATCGTCTGTGTCATGTGCTTGACCCAGTTCCGCATCCTTGCGAGACTCCTGGAGTGCTTTTTGCTGTTGCAGGCCACTCAACACTTCTTGGGTGGTAGACGTCTTCGAATCGATTTCACGCCCGCGCAGACAAGAGCGTGGCTGCTGCAGTTCCTCATATTTCGTAGCATATTGCTTCACGAACTCAGCCGAACGCTTGGTGCTGGAACTGGTTCTGCCTGGACCGCTGGTTTTCACATTCAATCTGTGCGCCAAGCCCAAGACATCTTTTTGATCCACGCGCAGGCGAGGTTGGTACTGGACTTCAGGTTTGATCGGGCAATCGTCCACATCGAGATCGGATCGGTCTTCCACCTCGCCCACGTCCACAAACTCAGCCCTCGCTCCCAAGTCGTCATCTTCGTCAGGAGCGACTTTGTGCTCTTGCGTCGGTCGGGGTCTCCGACGAGCTTCTGACATCAAATCCAAATTAGCACTCACCTCTCGACTGACGACAGCCACATACTCTCCCGCGCTCAGCTGCTGCGGATGCCACCCGTAGGAGGCGCAGTGCACGGAAGAATGTAGACCAAGAATTTCGATGCAAGCTTTGATGTGCCCTGCAGAGTTTCCAATCACCGTGAGGACGTTGTCTTCGTCCATGACTGCACCGACAAAGTCGAAGATCACACCCAAAACTCGCTCGCTGAGACGAGGTAGTTCATAT